GGGAAACACGATATCAGGGTGATTAGCCTGGCTGGGTGCCCCAACCCCAGCATGTGAATAAGAGGTGATGGTGTCCGGCAGCAGCTACAGCCCACCAGTCTCTCGGACTGTGCAGCCCACATAATGCAGGTGAGTTGATTAGCTACCCAAGCAGCAGACAGAGGGGGAGGCACCCGATCTGGATGCACCATGTGGGCCACAGGCAGAGGTGGTATTCAGCAGGTTCTGACCAGTTCTGGAGAACTGGTAGCGGAAATTTTGAGTGGTTCAGAGAACCGGCAAATACCACTTCTGACTGGAGACTTTACAGCATCCTTCCCCTGCCATGCCCACAGAACTGGTAGTTTAAAAATTTGAATCCCACCACTGGCCACGGGAAAGCTGAAAGTCAGTGGGCCGGAGTGGGCGGGCACAGCAGGAGGCTCATCTTAGCAGCACCGGCAGCAGATGGAGGCAGAGGTACAGGAGGAAAGGCAGACAATCCAGACACTCTGTGTTGGCCGCAGGAAAGCTGAGAATCAATGGGCTTGAGCCAGCAGGCAGCTGCAGGAGGCTCATCTTTGTGTGGCGGTGGTGACATCAGATGGAGGCAAAGGCATGGGGGGGCAAGACAGACAATCCTGACGCTCCGTGTGGGCAGCAAGGAAGCCAAGAGACACGAAGACAAGCCTCCCATAGCCAGCTAGCTGGGCCCATCAACTCTTGGTTTTTCTGCAGCACATGCAGCATGTTCTGATCACCTGCTTTCACACACACCCATGCCTCTGTCTCTGCTACCGATGCCACTGCACAAAGTTAAGCCTCCCGTGGCCAGCTTGCCTGTTCCAGACCATCAATTCTTAGTTTTGCCACAGTCTATGTGGCACGTCTGGATTGCCTGCCTTCCCCCTGGGCCTCTGTCTCCGTCTGCTGCCAGTGCAGCTGTAACATATTTTATGTTATATGTTATGAATATATCACAAATATAAGTTATAAATATAGAGAACCTGTAATACAACTATAGTTAGGCTTTTCATGAACTCACTGGGAAACTCACATTGCTGGAATGTGTGCACTATTGATAAGGAAAGATGCTGAGTATATGTATGAATGATTTATTGTTGGTCATATCAAGTAAAGTGGGTGTATGGAATGTAATAGAATCTTGGAACAAACAGTGAGGATGTAAAGTTCCTGACATGGCTGGGGGAATACGTACTATATACATGGATTTTGAGTAAACAAGTTGCGTATAAAGAGAAGACTGGAATGAACTGAGAGCCCGAATTTTGAGATGACTCTTGTTGGAGTAGGAATGCTGTGAGTTTGTTTCCCAGGCCACTCTAACACAATCTGATCACCTGTGTTGACAGCATGAGTATTGTGCGAATGAATAGCACAGTTGAGCAGCAATACTTACAGCAACTTGAGCAGCCTTGTAGGGCACAGTTATTTGAATAGCCTTGTTGGACATAACTTATTATAGTAAGATAACTTTGAACTTAGACAAGTATATGTATAAAGATAAAGGAACTAACTAAGCTTAATTGCACGCTTACCTTACTTTTTATTTTCTAAATAGGTCTTATTGTGGGGAAAACATGGTAGTATCCAGTGCTGCTTTTCCCCCCTCCTTTTTGCTACATATTTCTATTTTCTCATAGGAATTAATAGCAGATGCCCAGTAGTGGGATTCAAATTTTCTTTACTACCGATTCTGTGGGCGTGGCTTGGTGGGCATGGCAGGGGAAGGATATTGTAAAATCTCCAGTCAGAGGTGGTATTTGCCAATTCTCCGAACTACTCAAAATTTCCACTACCAGTTTTCCAGAACTGGTCAGAACCCGCTGAATACCACCTCTGCAGATGCCAGGACCTGAGATAGGATTTGCTGAGAGATACTTGCTTTGTGGCTATAATAAAAGCATCTGCTTAGTCAGTTTGAAATAAATCTTCCACAGGGCTACTTCTATCACTTCAGAGTTTTATTTATTTATTTACACCTCAGTTAAGCAAATGTAAGATCTGCATGAAGAAATATTCATTTAAAATATTGCTGCTGAATATATTTTCCTTAGAGAAATACAGTATCAATTTCTTAAGCTAAATATTCAAAGAAAAATGAAAGTTACTCCAACTTATAAAATTGTGTTGATTTTTCTCATTTTGCTCTGATTTTTCTCCAAACAGTCATATATGAGGCAGTCCTTGTAAATATTGAAATTTAATTCCCAGCAGCATCATGTTTTCTATATTTTATTCTAGTTATGTGTAATATATATACTTTGAATAAAGGTGTCGGAAATCAATCTTTTAAGGACTGCCTTTTTAAAAAGAGAAACAATGAAAAAGAATAAAACAGATAGAAAATACCAAGCTTCTTACCTGCTAATCCAATTGTTATTAGGCTATTAGCTGGGGGAAAAAATAAAGGAAGTATATATTAGAATGCTATTATTCTAAAATATTACTGTAAAATACATTAAACTAATAATCTAATGACATCGTTTTAAATCTAAATCGTACAGATTTTAAAGAGAACTATGTGCAACCAGCTGGTTCCAACCCACAAAATATCTATGGTATCAAACTGGTGAAATGGGCTGGAAGATACGATATTTAGCCCAATGCCAAATAGCCTAACAAAAATGAAACTAGTATCAACCAGAAATAAACAAGCATGCCCTCTACAAAGATAAGAACTTTAAGCTAGCAGGATTCCTATTTCCATGAACTTAATGGGTAAGCATTCAGTTATGTGTAGAGGACAGTATAAGAATGCTACTGATTATACATCAGAGGGTAACTTTGAGGGTATCTCAACTTCTATTGAGATGCATGTCAGCCTTTTGAGTCAGAGCTGTCAAAAACCATAACAATTTATCAAGCTTCCTTCAAACCTCATGGAATTTGGAAAAGGCAGTTTCCAAAGGATTGTAAGAATGTACCTTCATTAAAGTTAAATTTTATTCATTTTCTGTAGCTTAATGTGTTGTGACACCCAACGCCATTTTATGCATTGATTTTTTATTTATTTATTTATTTTGCAACTGCTACATTTTGCAATCCTAGAATTGGTTAATTCAGCAACCAAATTAAACATGTTTTAATATGTAAGAGATTACATATTAAGATCAAATATGAGATTTTTAAAAATGTATTCCTGCCAAGGAGATAAATATGAACAATCAAATATGTTAGGACAAAAGAAATTAAGTTTCTCCTGATGCAGGAAGGACTTTTCAGATCAAAATTAACATGCTTACTTTTTACAGTAAAAAATAAAAACTCTAAAGACAAAATGTTCAGTATGTATTTTATGTGTCACATTGTTTAGCCCTTTGGTGCTTGATTTGCTCTCACAGTTCTCTCAGAGATACATGAAGAAAAGCTAGAGTTACGAAATAATTTTTAGACATAAGGCAGAAGAAAGTGCCAATAATGATTTATGCATCCATACATTCCTGATCTTTGGAAAAAATCTCTTGGAAGAAACTGCTGCTTCATACTTCATAAACTATGTATCTTATGTGCTATAAATTGTTCACTCGTGTTCCAAAAAGAAAAAGAAAACAAAGAATAACTTCCATTGATTTTTTAAAAATATACAAAGGTAATTATTTCACTATAATAAAACAATGCACTCATTTATTTAAAAATAAAAATAACTGTGTTCTGTCTAGAAGATTTGTTTTGTTCATTAAATAATGATCTGATATTATTTGACTTTTGAAAGCAAATCTGGTTGTTGGGAAAACAGTTGGGAAAACAATACTAATGTAGTATGATAAGGCAAAAGAAACAAAACAAATGAAATTCAGAGTAGAATAATTAACATGAGATAAAACAAGGATGTTGGTATAAAAATGACGTGGTGGCTCAGTAGCTAAGATACTGAGCTTGTCAATCAGAAAGGTTGGCAGTTTGAATCCCTAGCACTGCATAATGAAGTGAGCTCCCATTACTTGTCCCAGCTTCTGTCAACCTAGCAGTTCAAAAGCATGTAAAAATGCAAGTAGAAAAATAGGGACCACTTTGGTGGGAAGATAACAGTGTTCCATGCGCCTTCGGCATTTAGTCATGCCGGCCACATGACCATGGAGACATCTTTGGGCAGCACTAGCTCTTCAGCTTTGTAACGAAGATGAGCCAGCAACGACTAGCACATATCTTTACCTTATAAACAGAAGCCATTTTTAATATATTGCAATGAACATGTAATTTGCACAAATATGTGAGTAATAGGGAGTAAGTCATCTAAGAACAAGGAAACAAGGAAAATAATGAAATGGAACAGTAAAGAAAATAAATCTGATTATGTAAATCAATGGATCAATGTACAAGGCAACTGTATGTACCTCAGTTTCATTAAAGGATAGAAAATGAGGTAGCTGGAAAGCACATGCTTCTAGGAATCTTAGCATTTCATTTTTAATCCTTGTGGTGGTAAAAGCAGTATGTATTGCTGGGAGTCTTACACTTTACTGGAGTTTCTCCTCTTTTCTCAAAACTCTGGGACAAAGGAGCAATAGCTACTAACTTGAACAGCTTTAAAGGACTGGATATATTTTTTCTAACAAAAGATATAGCAAGGATTATTAGTCTTAGAGACTCCGTTCTGGTTGGATATAACATGTCCCCAAAAACCACTTACCAGAGAAGATAATACTAGAAGAGATTATCTCCACCTACTGTTTGTGAATATTGTACAACAGAAGAATTATGTTCTACAATATTATGTTATGAGGAGCAAAATGCTGGATTAAACTATGTTCGGCTGATCCAGTTGGTGTGCTCATATAGTACCATGAATTCATGTTCAAATCCAGGAGTTCTATAACTATGAAGGATGGATTTATTACAAAGTAGTGGCAGGAAACCCAGTAATTAAATTTGTTACATTGGGTCAATGAACTTCTGAAACCAGATGAAACTGGGTTTAACTGTCTTTAAAGAACTACATAGACCTGAATATATTCAGGCAATGCCTTGCCAGAATCAAATCTGATTGTTCGGTCCAATTATCAATAGATGAGTTGTTAAAGAGTCTCCTTTCTTTACGTGGGACAAAGATGTGGTTAAGATGCAATATAAGTTTAATATGGTTTTTACCAGTGAAGAAAATCAGGAGAAATATGGGAGTTCGGAAAATCCAAGCCTTGGCATCCTCTTTTGAAAAAAAAAATTGTATGGAATTTGACAACTCCAAGTTTAACACTAATACTCAAGGTTAATGAATAATAAACTATGCTCACTAATTTACAAAACCCCACTGGGAAAAAGCCAAATAGCAAGAGTCAGTCTAGATCTGTGATGAAGGGACCTTCATTGGATATTCCACATATTTTCTCCCCTCCCCAGTAACAGTCAACTGTAAAACTGCAATTCCCTCTACAAGGGCTACCATTACAACAGAATGCAGCAGCACAGACAGTTCTGAAGGCTCTTCAGGTGCAAGATTTGACACAGTGGTGACAAAAGCTGTACTGGCTACCAGATTGCTTTCAGGTCCAATTCAAAGTTGGTCATTACTTTTAAAGTCATTAGTGACATGGGATCTAGGGTATCTGAAAAGCTATCTCATCCTGAGAGAACTAACCCACCCCACCCTCTACAATATTCTCTCTTTGGAGGTTAGGGCTATCTACATACTCCTGTCAAAATGATATATATCATAATTCACATTGCATGGTGTTGCAGGGCTTAGGAAGATGCCAGAAAATTTAGCTGTTCTTTTTCTATCCCCTACTAACCTCATAAATTCATTGCTCCCAGATCCTTCAATTAACTCTCAATAAACTAGCCCAGGGATCGCCAACCTTTTGGACCTCAGGGACCACCAAACTCATAATTTTAGATCCCAGGGACCACTAATCAGTTCTGTGGGTGTGGCCTAATTTGTGGGTGTGGCTTGGTAGTCATGTGACTGGCTTGGCATGGCTTGTATATAAATATTATAAATATTTATATATTGATTTTTTTTTATAAAAAAGAGCAACTTTTACCCAAAATCAGGCAAAGCAGGCAGATTGAGTTGCTCACAGAATCATTCAGTGATCTATCTATCTGCCATCAGCTAGCTCAGTCTCTCAAATTTGCTTGCCGTGGTCTGCCCTGAGTTTGCTTGCAAGCAAACCTTCAGTCCTAAGGGAGGTTCAGCTGTGCTGAGCCGAAGATCTAAAAACTAGCTAGAAAGCAAGAAATTCAACCATTTCCTACTTCCTAGCTAATGTAAATCTCCTGGCACAGCAGAACAGATGATGGTCGGAAAAAGGAAAAATAGCAATTTACCAGGCAAGTTTACCAGGTAAGGAGTGAGTGAGAGGGGAGGGTTCCTGCAGGCCATGTGGGCGGCACAGCGTTGTGTTTCTGCGCAGCCTGGATTAATTGCTTTGTGGGGGTGCTCTGGGGGTGAGATTTCTCTGCGGCCCACCAAAATTTTCTCACGGCCCACGGGTTGGCGACCGCTGAACTAGCCAACTAGTTTTCCAGAGAAATAGAAAATTAAGAATACCCTTGTGATTATTTCTGTTTCTAATTTCTCGTTAAGTTGCTATTCCTTATTAATTTGAACAGATGTTATGTGCCCATCATGGTGTGAGTGTGTCTGTTTTTGAGAAATCGGGGGAGAAGAAATTAAGATAAAAACTGATATCAAAAACTGAAATTAAAGATCTAGATTTTCCTGGTTGGAGGCTAAAACAAGAAAGCAAAATAAATTCTGGATCTAGATCCCTTAATCTAAGGGATAAATTTGTATTTCACAAAACTCTGGAGCTTGGCTTGTAATGACATGTCCAATCTTTCTCTGCTAATGACTTTCTTACAAATCTTGTCCTTTATTATATAGTGTGTGTATGTATACAGATATATACAGATATACATACACATACAGACGTATTCAGCCAATTAAAGTATATTAAGTCTTGAAACCATCAGGATTTAATACCAAAACAGCATTTAACTGCATGGCATACTATTATATATTAAAACCATACATTTCTTATTATTTGTTCAAAAATATTTTTAAGTCCATTTATAATGGACAGGGCATATTACCATACATATGAAAACTCATTGCTTAACTGTTTTGATTGAAACTAACAATAAAGAAATATTAGTACTGAAAACAATTGGTAGCATTTAATTGAATAGTAGTTGTTTCAAATTTGGTAATCTGGTTTACAATAAAGTTGTTTAATATAGAATTGCCTACAATTTGTCAGTTCGAATCTCACCAGGCTAAGGTTGACTCAGCCTTCCATCCTTCCAAGGTCAGTAAAATGGAGACCCAGATTGGTGGAGCCAATATGCTGATTCTGTAAATAGCTCAGAGAGGGCTGTAAAGCAATGTGAAGTGGTATATAAGTCTAAGTGCTATTGCCACTAAGCATTAAGAATGAAAATAAACAAAG